AAATTATAATGAAAAACATGGAAATATTCTAGACATTCCAAACTACATCCACAAATTTTTTCAGGATTTATTAACAAAATTTATTATTTTTTATGAATTAAATATAACATGCAATAAAACAAAAAAAAATAAAGAAAAATAAATAAAAGAAATAAGTGGAGGGAGGTGTAACCAGCAGGCAATACATGGGTAATTTCGCCTGGGCCCAACATGATGGGGTGCGAAAAGCGTGTGGGAACTGGGCCCAACTGAATATCAATTCAGCTCTATCATTCTCTAATTGGAACAACGCCAGGGGGTGCCACAAGTAAGGCTTTCATGTGTTAAATGATTGGGCCTCATCAACGAGGGGTGTCGGTAGCAACCAGGATGCAAGGCCCAGAGTTTCAACTTATGAAACTCTGCGTTTCATTAAAGGGGAAGGGAGACACACGTGGCCACGCTTAGATCATCAGATTACCTTACAAATTCAACTCCCTAGCAAGATCCAATGGTTACGATATAACTTGAGTTTCTAAACCCCAAAACGGAGGGAAATAACATACGGCGACTCTGCAAATTCACATGGTGGCCGGCCTAGCGCCGGTCATACCCTACCTCGCGACATGAAAAATACCAGACACACAAGCTTGATGAAAATTGCAATTCTTTATATCATTTTACTCGCCTCTCTCCCTAGATCACTAATACATACTTCAATTTCGTTTTTAACCAATATTAAGGGAGATACATGAACAACAACTTGCATCACCATAATGCAAACTCTCACGATTCATCATAAAAACTATCCAGAATCCACATATGTTTCAATTCTAACTTAACCACATGTAACTAAGGTCTTAAATGCAGATAACTTAAGAGAAAATTTGAGATGAAAAACCTGACACAAAGCTTCGAATCTGGTGACTTCTAGAGCTCCACTTGCTTCCAAGAGGTGCAGATCCCTTCAATGGATGATGATGAACAATTCTTGAAGTCCAATTCCCTCTGAAACTCTCTCAATCTCAAAATTCGAAAATCAAGTTTCAAGCTTCTTCACACACTTGCTCCAACTGATTCTCAACAGAATTTGCCACTAGAAGCTTCTGGGAATGATCTGATATCAATTTATAATTTGTTTAACACCTTTGGAGGCCCAATAAAAGCCCAATTTGTGATTTCCAAGTTTCAATTTTCTTCCAAAAATCCACTTATGGTGTTCACGATTTTGGCTTGTTATCACTCTCAATTCACTTCAATTCACTTGCTTGATAGTCATGGAGTGTAAATGGATGGTTTTGTTCCTTTGATTTCAACCAAAGAGGTGTATTTGAAATGTTACTTCATCATGAAGCAATCCTCCAAATGACCATGTTATAAACCTCAAATCAAAAATGTAATGTTGCCAAAATGTTTAGAACTTATTTTCCTATCAAAATGAGCACAAATTTGGCTTGAAATCATCCAATTACCAATTGTTTTGAATTTTTCCATTTTAATTCATTAAAATGGTCTTTTTTGCGAAATTTCTTCAACCAATGCTTGATCTAATCCATATTAATGGACTCTTGATACCTGGATAAGCTAAAAACATCATTTTGAGCAACTTTCATGTTGAACAAAACTCTATTTGAAGCTTGCAAGATAGTGAAATTGACTTATAATTCAAAATGACCTGTAATGTCCAAATACCCAAAATACCCTTGACTTGTCAAAGCCATAACTTGAGTTCTACAATTCCAATCATGGACTTCTAGTACTCTATGAAAAGATAAGAGAATAAGGAACAACATTCAGGTCGACCAAAAGTTCATAGGAATCCTCCTTCTAGGGAAAAAGTGTCATGCAAGTTGGGTAACTTTCAAGCTCCAAATTCACATGCCTCAGATGACTTGTAACTTGTCTGGCTCATAACTTGAGTTATTTAAACCCTATCAAGGACTTCATGTTGGGGTCAAGATGAGATGAAAAGAACATGTGTTAAATGGCCTGGAAGTCAGGGGTCCAGCCAGGGGATTTTACACTGTCAAGTCTTAGAAACCCTAGCCTATAACTTCTCAAACTCTTCAATCATGATGAGTTGACCTTGGAATCATCCTTAGAACATATCAATGTACCAATCCATTATCACATGGCTCTTGAATTAGGTCTCAACCTTCTTCAAATCATCAGTTGACTTAGGGTTGACCCAGTTAAACCCTAGCTGCACCAATCATGGCTGAGGCTTGTTAATCTTGCACAATGACCTATCTAGGCCTCAAAGTAAACTGCACCACTTCTCATGAGTTCTCTCAAGACCTCAAGTCCAACTTCCTGACCTCAGAATCATCTGATAGCTTTCCACAACTCTCAAGTTAGGAGACACACACTCTTGGTTTCAACCACTCTCTCTGAGGATCTTTTAACTTCTCTGACAAGGATATCAACCCTTGAACACTTGAATTACATTCTTAGCTAGCTTCATAGTCTTGTGTAGCCCTTGATTGGTAATCATACCTCTTGATCTCCTGCCTACATGTCAATGAAATGCAAATGATAATGCTAATATGAATGAAATGTAACATAAGCTAAGTGAAGAAAAGTTGGGAAAATTTTGGGGTGCAACAGCGAGCAAAATAAATACAATTAGCTAGACGGTCGGTTTGTCGGATTGGCAATATTTGGACATTTTCTATGCATATGGCCTATTTCTCTACTAATCTCACACCTTCTCTTTTCTTTTTCAGCGTCGTTCATTTAAGTTCTAATCCTAGTACTAGTTGGACGTCCCTTTTTATTTCTTCTCATGGAGTCATCGTGGAATAGAGTAAAACCTTCATATTTTGGCAAGTTCTCCTCATGCGTAGTCCCATGAAGCTTTCTTTGTAGACTTTGAATACGTTAAGTACTGTGAAGACCTCTGGAATGTGAATTGTGTAGTCTTGTCGTATGCTAGAACATGATGCGATCACGTGGGAGTAAGGCAAGTGAAATGCTTGAAATTTTCCACAGTCACACAAACGATTCCTCAGGTCAACGCTGAAAGTACCCGTGGACGACCATCGTTTTGATTAATTTTTTTCATGCACCATGAAATAGAATCTTTCGCGATCAAATTGCATGACATTGTGTGTGTTAGCCTTGGCTACCTCGTCAGCCATTCCCTTGTTGCAACCATCTGTGAAAACTTTGCTAGTAGCTAGCATATTGGTCCATTTGTGTCCTCGTTTACCAAAGAGTGAACCCATTCGATAGTATGTAGACTGAACCAAAGCAGTGATTGGAAGGTTTCTTGTTGCCTTTAGTGCAGAGTTCATGGCCTCTGCCAAGTTAGATGTCATATGTCCCCAACGTTGCCCTCCATCAAATGCTCTAGCCCACTTCTCCCTAGGTATGTTGTCTATCCAATTTGAAGCCTCAATGTCCGATCTTATGATTTCTCCGCGAAAGTAGTTAAATGTAGCCTCCGTCAATGCGTAACTTGTAATAGAAATTGTATGAAAAACATAATAAAAGTATCATATAATAGTTGAGATAACTGAAATGTATTCTGTTACCCATGTTAATAAGTTTTTTGCGTAGATCCTTGTCCTTAATCTCGTGCATGAAGTTCTGCGCAATGTGTCTAATCCAGTAGACATGTGAAGATGGTGGATGTTGCCATGTGTTTTCGGGATTGTTATATGCACTCTTTATCAATTCATGTCTATAAGAGATTAGGCACAAATTAGGTTATGGTGTCACGTGTAACCTCAGGCTCCTTATGAAAAAGCTCCATGCTTCCTTTGTTTCACCTTCGACCAATGCGAATGTTATTGGGAAAATGTTTGTGTTTCCATCATGTGCCACCGCCATCTATAGAGTTCCTCTGTACTTGCCATACAACCAAGTTTTGTCTACTTGCACAATGGGCTTACAGTAGGAGAAGCCACATATACACGGACGAAATGCCCAAAACAGACGATGGAAGATTTGTTTTCTAGAGAGTTGAGAACCATCATTTGAAATTGCTTTATAAATCTATAATGGTTCCTGGAGGGTAGGTTTTCATTACCAGTATCCACTCTGGCAGGTCATTGTAAGATGTTTCCCAATTTCTGTAGAGCGACTCTATGGCCTTACACTTAGCGATCCATGCTTTTTTGTAAGATATTATGTACCTGTATTTTTGAAGAATATGGGCAATGATCACCTTCACCTTAAGTGAAACGTATCAGTTTACAGGTTCTCTGATGCTATGGCTAATCATTTCTGAACTGAGCTTCATATGGTCTTGTACCATAGACGTGGTAGTGCATGTGTGAGGCCTAGATAGCTTACCAATCACCCATTTTGAGTTCCTTTTTCTCAAGGAAGCTCTGCATTTGAAATTGCAGTCTTGTTTCTTACACTTAATTACATATTGTTCATTATCAGATTGATAAACCTAATAGTCAACACTGTGTGTTATATGCCAATGTTGTAGAGCGAAGACGTAAGCTTCCTTGTTTTCAAACTCCATCCCAATCTCTATTTCTTCACCTATATGGTTTGGTATGACACTTCCAAACACGAAGGTTGTTTCATCATTTGCCATACATATATTTTACATATGTGCAGGTGGGTTGTACAAACTTATTGGTTGTACGTGAATCGGCTGCATAAACGCGACAACTATATCTTCATCGTCTTCGTCATCGCTGTTATCAAAAATATCTTGCATCCTAACATCCTGAAGATCGTCATTGCTTGCTTGCCCAACCTTTTCATTTGGTATGAAAGGTTGGTTATTTTGTGTTGGTTTATCGTCGAATGTTTGGCTCATTCCATACCGGCGTGATTGTGTCTCTTGCGTTGGAAATGTTTCGACATTATCTAGTAGTCGAACATACATCTCAATTGTGGGTAACTGACCAAACATCATGTGGCACCGAAACATTTCCTTCATGTCTTCGTCGTTCCTGATCAGCGTCATTACGTAAAAAATTATACAGTCGTCTCCATTAAGCAAAGGATGACGATAAATTATCTCCTCAATGTATCGTTCTGATTTTTTTTCCATTCTATATTTGAAATGGAAAAAAAATCAGATAAATGCCTTGGAAGCAATGAATCATGAGTTTTTCGTCTCTGGCATAGGCAGCCATCTTGCGATAGTACATTTTCAGATGAATGTTTGGGCAACTAAGACCTTTGTATTTCGAAAATTCGGGCACCTTGAACTTGGGAGGGATGACGACATCAGGAACCAAGCACATTTCTAAAGCACTAAGAGGGTTTGAATTGTTCCCTTCCATAACTCGAAGTTTCTCAGCTAGGTCTCGACACATCTTTATAGCTTCTGAATCCTGAGCAGCAACAAGACTAGCAATGGGAATAGCAGCATGATAGTTTTGCACATCGTCATACTGATCCACCATATTATCTTCGTTATGAGGAACGGGGATCTGAGCCACAGTTGGCTGGGCTTGCAGGGTAGCTCCAACAGTAACTCCAGGCGATGGGCTTGGTTGAGAAGTGGTCCCTTCAACTGCGGTAGCGAAATTCATTGGCATTCCATAGGGGTTAGGGACAGGAGCTGAGAGCCTTGGGGTAGACACTTGCACCTGTCCATTGTTGTTGACGACATCAGCAGCTTCACGTTGTTCTTCCTCTCTTCTGGCTATGATGATGGCTTCGAGGATCTGGTCAATCTTTCCTTTGATAGAATCTAACTCTTCCCTGAAGGCAGCTTGCTCTTGCTGAATCTGCTCCATCATTCGTCTTGTATTGGCTCTAGTTGCGTACTGGTGTCAAGGAATCGGCTTGATTTACTGGACAGGAAGGAAAGAGAAACATGAGAAACTGTTGAAGGAAGGAGAATGCAAGATGCACAACAAATGAGATGCAATGCAAATGATATGCAATGAAAGATGCAAGATCCAGGATCACAGGATCACAAATTCAAACAGTTCTGAAATTAGCCGGGTGAACGGTTCAAGGATCACAATCACTGCTCAAAAACCCCACGGGTAGGATTCTAAAATGGGTAGGTGCCTAGAGTCATGTATATCTTTCAAAAATATTATAGCCATGACAAAGCCTCATCACGACGATAACATCCTCAAAAGAATCTCCTCTAGGTGAGGTTTTTGTATCTTCCACGCGAGAAAGACTTCTCGGAGGCGTCAACTACACAACCATCGACACATGGGTTCTAGAAAAGGTTCTCAGAGTCATAAATCGAGGTTGAAAATATCACTGTAAAGAAGTAATACGTTCAAGGGATTTCATCTGATTGGGACGTTCGCATTAATCCACAAGGAATCAACACTACCAACCACCATGGATAAAACGGTTAATGGTCTTTGGGATCAACGATTCATGCTCGAAAACATTATTGTTATGGCAAAGACTCACCACAACAACAATATCTCCAAGAAAATCTACTCCAAGCGGGGCTTTCGCTTCAACTCAACATGAAAGACTCCATGCAAGTCTCCACTACAAAACCACCATCCTAATCCTAGGGTTATACTCGGACTCGGGTGTAGAGCCATCTCATAAAGTAACCATAAGTAGAACAACCCAACAATGCCACAAGCGCAAGTAACCAAGACAAGGATACCAATAAATAAGCGAGAAGAAAATAACAAACAACAATCTAACAACTCAAACCAAGATAGGCTCGACTCTCTCTTGCATGGAGCAATAGTCCCCAGCAGAGTCGCCACCTGTTGCACCTCGAAAATTCATTCGAACATACGACCCTCGCGCAAAAGGCGCGGAAATGCGGTTCGACGGAGTTGCCACCGAACTTTATTTTTCCCGAATGAACGGGAGAGGAAAATATCGAGAAAACCTCTTAAAAAGGGATGGAACACGGCCGTCGCAACCTAATGTTCCTGGGTTCGGGAGTCAGTTACGCGAGGGGAAGGTATTAGCACCCCTCATGTCTGTTGTACTTAACGGGAACCTCTTAATTCGAGTTGTGATGATTGTTAGCTAAGCTTAATTCTTCTCTTCTCAATACTAAATACTAAAACGATACTATAAAGGCTAAAGGTGCTAGGGGAAAGGGGATGGTTAGAGGATAGGGTGCTCGCCAAGGATTGGGGCCCTTGTGCCTACGTATGCTCATTCGGACGAGAATGAGAAATCATAGCTCTCGTAGTTCGACTACAAGAAACGGAAGATGGAGAGAATTGTGCTCGCCAAGATCATCGCAATCTTGTGCCTACGTATCTTACATCGAAGAATGAATGAAGAATCAGAGCGTCTGTAGTTCGTGGTAACAACCACGAAGAGAGACGGGAAATAGAGGGGAGGTAGCTCCCCAAAATCATCGCAATCTTGTGCCTATGTATCTTTATTCGGACGAGAATAAAGAATAAGAGCAGTCGTAGTTCGTGGTAACAACCATGAAAAGGAACGGGATTGAATGAGTTTGAAGGTGGGTAGGGATGACGATTACTCGAAACTTAAGAAAGACTTCTCGGACCCAAGTAATCGGGAGAGCGAACCAAAGACTTGGAACACTCTCTTTTTCATCTTGAAAGAGGGTTGTGTTTAAAAGGTGAGGTTGAATTGATGACGATTACTTGAAATACTATCTTTTTCATCGTGAAAGAAGGTGATGTTTGAATGGAGTTTGAAATGAGTGGTTGGGATCGGATGACGACTACTTGAAGCTTAAGAAAGACTTCTCGGACCCAAGTAATCGGGACAGTGAACCAAAGACTTGGAACACTCTCTTTTTCATCTTGAAAGGAGGTTTTTTGAATTTGAAATGGTGTTTGGAATGATGAGTGATTAAAGGATGGTTGAACGTTGTCGGGTTTGTTAATGTTATTTAAAGGCGTCAATTGCTCACACACGAATAAGATAACTCGCATCCAAACAACCGAAAGCAAGCTCAAAGACATGAACCCATTCTTTACACCTTGAAAAGAATTAAATAGTTGTTAGTTAATTGATAATTTGTTTCGAAAATTCGCTTGACGTTGAATCAAGGGTTTGACTTATTATCGCGTGCAAAATATGTGGTGGAAATGGTTTGAAAATGGCTCGACTACGAGTCGAGGGTTTGAATTGAAAATAGGACCGACTTGACTTACGCATCAAGGGTCGAGTTGTAATAGGTTGATGGCAAATGCGTATGAGCACTCGACTTACGGGTTGTTTGAAAGTGGCTTGATGACGAATCGAGAATTAGTTTGAAAATAGTTTGATCCGCTCTAGTCCCCATGGGTGCTCCTAGGAGATAACTAATAATCAAAGAAATGTAAAACATACATCAGAATGGGAGAGGGGTACATGTAAGTTACACGAGATTGCACAAAATAAAGGGGTCTCATTGTCAGGTAGCCCAAGAGAAAGCCGTGTGTGTGCATTATGCCCTAAACAACGCCTTGCGCAAAGTCGAGCACGACTTAAAATCGGGGTTCCTGCAAATAACCAATGATACAACAGTCCACCAATTTGGCTTTTAGGATTTCGATAATTTATTAGGTGTTTTTGAATATGGGTGAATAAGAATGAATAATATGATATCGTAATATAAATAATATCAAGATAATATAACAACAATATCCACAATAATATTTGACGGAAATTAAAGTTAATTGTTAGTTTTGTTATGAATAAAATCGGGGCAAATGTAACGCTAAACCATCGTAGCTCGACTTATAATGAAAGTCGGTCTATAGGAGGCCGCGTGAGTTGATTTCCGTGCTAAAAAACAAGATGGAGAAATGATATTGAGAATCATTCACCAATTTAATCGTGTCGCACGGGCGAGATCTCGTCTTAATCGCAAACAAAATGTCGATTAATCGAAGGTAGCCTATCATGATTCCAAAGTAGGGAAAATGACCCAAATGGTCATTCTCCATAGATTTGAAATCGAGAAGGTTATCGACTTCGATACACGACGCTTACGAATCGGAAGACATCATCGATCAGAAAAATGAATAAAAATGGAAATGGAATAGAAAATGAAATAGAAAAAAGAAATAGTCTCGAATAAATCATCATCTATCAATAATTTGACCGATAATAATTATTAAAATTCGTCATGGACCAAAAAGTGATAAAAATAAATAAAAATGAATAAAAATCAATAAAAATCGAAAATGAAAAGTTTGAAAGAAGTTGGTCTCAGATCCAACGTTATTAATTAATAATTTGACCGATAAAAGTTTACGGAGGTCTCGTCATCAACAACAAAAAATGATAAAAATGAAAGTGTAATTGAAAGTATATCTAAAATTATTTACCAAAGAAATCCTACAATACTAATCGAAAATATTATCATTAAGACTTAAAAAAGATGTACATAAACTAAATGAAGTTCTTAACAAGATTATTTAAAAAACATTTGCGAAAACCTTTATATTAAAACTTTAAAAGAATTTAAGAGAAAAGAAAGGGGGTATGAACAATTGAAAGGGGTGATGTTGGAAGAGAACAGATCAAGGGCGGCAGGCCCAACAACAACAGCAAAAAAAACTCAAAAAACAAAAAAAAACTAAACACCCTCACGTTAAATTATCAGCATTTCTCCTCCTTTTAAAAAACGTGCTTAACGATAAAAGCAACTCACTCTAAAAAGATAACACGCACAGGGAAAAAGAACGTCGTAAACCGCCACGCACGTTCACTCAACCTTCTTGTTGTCAAACGTTTCACCTCTCTCCAAGTTCATTTGGATCTGTGTCATTTTTAGATCTCATTCACTATAACTCTATCCATCCCTTTCATCTCCTTCTATTCTCTTTTGGGTTTCAAAAATTTATGGGTTTGTGTTGATGATTTGATTTGGATTGAAGAGAGGTTTCAGGCTGAGGGGTTGTTATGGTTGGTGAAGAAGAAGGCCATGTGGGTTGATGTTTTCTGGGATTTTAACGATGAAGAAGAAGTTTGAGGGTGAGGAAAAAGGTGGTCGCAGAAGAAAGAAGAATGGGTTTAGGTCCAATCCTTCTTACGATGGGTTTGTGAGATTTGGGTTCCAAGAAGAGGATTTATGGTTTGAAGGATGATTTTCGGATTTCTTGGCTTGATAAGTTTGAAAGTTCTGGTGTATGTGTTTGAAGAAAATCTGGAGGAATGATTTTGGTTATTATGGAAGGTGTTGTTTAATGGAAGTTTTAGGGAGGGTAGGCGAGTTTCTTTTATTCACCGAAAGGGGATTAAAGGGTGAATCGTTGGTGTTTTGTGGTTGTAAGAATTTTCAGGTCTGAAGGTGAGGGTTTAGGTCTTTGAAGAAGGAGAAGAGTGAGTTTTGGGCGGTGGTTTGAATAAGGAGGAAGAAGGTGGTTGAGGTTCTGAGATGGATGAAGATGCGGTTCTGTGGAGGTATCTTCAAGTGTTTGAAGGTCTGTTTTGGAGTTGTTGTTAGAGTGTAGTTGTTTCGTCCAAATGAGGTTCTCCGTTTGGGTATATTTGAAAATGATTTTAATCGAGTTTGGCGTCGTTCTGAGGCTCCCTTTCTCAAGAATCATGAGCTAGCCCTTTTGTTTTTGGACGTTGTGGTGTCGTGATTTTCTCCTTTGCAGCTGTCATTTGTACGTTTTTTGCTTGTACAGTCCGCGTGGGATTAAAAGAGGAGAAGGTATGTGGTCCCCTTTTTTGGTTTATCTTGTTTTGCAAAAACAGACACTACAACTTTCCTTTTTTGTTGGTGGAGTCGTGTGTATTCTGCATTATGGTGCCTGTTGTCGCTACTGCAAAAATCGGCACCGGCTATGACAGAAGAGTCGTCACCGTGCGTTATTTA